AAAAAAAAAAAAAAAAACAACGGGAGGAAGTAGGCGAGGGAGGTAAGGAAGAAGAAGGGGATTGGTGAGGAAGAAGTGTCGGCAGCCATAGCTGACCGGGGAGTTGACCGAGAGGGTTGACCGGAAGCGTTGACCGGCGTTGACCGGGGGTTGACCAAGGGTCATAGCAGCGTTGACCAAGGCGTTGACCAAGACTTTGACCAAGCTGGAGTTGGTAACATCTCGCCAAGCCCTTAGCCTACCCCTTGCCCTTTGGATGTGCACATACCCCTTGGTACTTGCTGAGTACAGTCTGTCTGTCTATTCTTTCTGCATTGAGTCTCTTCTGTACTAGGTCATAGAGCTCTGTGGATGAAGGATAGGGCCTTGCTGCCAAACCTGCACGGGACTTAGTAGGACTAATCTCTGCTCTGGTATCTGGAGACCTGGGCATGAGCGGCGAGCGCTCGTTAAACAACTCGTCTAGCCCAATGACCGGTACTATCCGGCAGGTCCGCTCAGTTTCAGTGTAGAGGGTCCGAACTTTGAGCTGCAGGCTTAAACGGAGGCCGTCTTTAAGTGCTGAGGGCCTGTTGGAACCACTCCCCTACCAGACCAAGTAAGGCTGAGGATCTGTGTCTAATGACTCGACACTCCCAGAGGTCAAACCCTCCCAAGGACCAGTACAGACCGGCGGGCTGCTCGATGTGGCACAGTAGGCTAGAAAGGCTGAGTTGTGGGCTGGAAGCACAGGCAAAACCAAGCTGATCACGTCGTCCTGTCTGCGACGTTAAAAAATTCTTGAGGAGTTATGGGGGATCTCCTTAAATGCCTCCTGATCAGCCACTGGTTCAGTAGTGACAGCCATAGCATAGAACTAGGCTAGAGACCATAGTTGACAGGGTCCTTGTCAGGATTCTGTAAGTCTGAGATCGAGTCTATAGGTTTGTCAATCAGGGGTCAGAGTCTACGTGGTGAGGTTTGGAACCACTAACCCGGTTGTACACTTATCACCATGTTTGAGACCCGTAGTGGGACGGAGACTAGTCCCTACACCCCTGAGCAGCAAGCAAAGATGGCCGCCTTAGTGAAAGAGAACAAGGAGAGAAAAGAGTGCGAGAAGCAGGCGAAGCTAAAGGCTATCGCAGATGAGCAGGCGGCGAAGTTGAAGAGGTTGGAGGAGGAGATGAAGAGGGTACAACAGGAGGAGGAAGAAAGAAGGAAGGCTGCTGAAGCAGRAGCGGCAGCAGAAGAAGAGAAAGAGAGAATGCGAATTGAGAGTGGGGAAGGGAGTAGTGGTGGAACGTTGAACTGGGAGACAGATACTGAGCTGGAGAGGAAGATCAGCGAGTGGGTCGCTAATTTATCGTTGGGGAAGACGAGGAGGCGGAGTCATATGTGACTAAGGATGAGAAGGCTGCGCTGGCCGCTGAGCTAGCAGCCATGACAAACCCGATGGAATGAAGAGAGAGGGAAGACGAGCAAAAGTTAGCATGAAAGCTGAGAATGAAGAGGGAGAAGAAGAGGAGGAGAGAGGAAGTGAATAAGATGACCGCAGCARTGGCAAAGGTGCAGGAGTGTAGAGCGGAGGTGYTGGCCCARCCAGATGATAAGGCCAAGTGGGACAAAGTACTGGGCTATCTAGAGGTGTTGAGCAAGGCCTGAATGGAGGAGCGCCAGGCAAGCTGGAGCCAGGATGTAGCGTTGAGTGCCATGCAGTCCGGGTTCAGGGATTTTGCACGTGAAATCGTCACCCACATTGGGGGCGAAGTCAAACAGTTGAGGGACAATGTAGGGAAGTTTTGTGAGGGCGCCATTCAGGGTGCCAAAGCTGCAGCCGCTGTAGAAGGAGAGGTCAGACCCCATAAGGACCCAGTGAAACTTAAGTTCCCAGACGCGTACGGGGGAAAGAAGGACGAGAACTTTGACAACTGGGAGGCCAGTGTCAATAGTTACATTTATTTACAGCATATCCTGGTAGAGGAGCAAATCCTCGTGGCCTTCCAGGCCCTCAAAGATGAAGCGGCTAGCTTTGTCAGGTCTCTTGCGCATACAGTCGGTTGTGAAAACAACCTGGTTGCATATTCCAAAGTCACTCCTCTTTCCCAATTCCTCAAACTCCTCAAGGAGCGGTTCGCTGACCCAACGCGAGGCATTAGGGCCTCTGATAAGCTCCAAACGATCCACTCCCGACAGTGGAGGAGTGCCAAGGCACTCAAGGGTACTATGGACGACTTGGTAGCCGTCCCAGATAACAGGGTCACTGAGCCCCAGCTGGTCCAGTTGTTTTATCGTGCCATTCCAGAGGCCCTACGCGGGCATTTCTTTGACAAATCTCAACAGGCCGGCATGACTTACGATGCATTGAGTAGAGAAGTCGTCCTGTATAAGTCAAAGTCTATGCCAGTTACCACTTTCTGGCATAAGGACCTGAAGAAGGGGAAGAAGTGGAAAGATCGTACCATCTCGGGCCAAGTCAAGGCCAAGGATCGCTTGATCCTGACATTAGAGGAGGGTGGTACAGAAGAGGTTCCATATGATCAGATTGAGTGGGGCCTAGGGGAGGAGTACAGTAGTGTAGGGCAGGGGAGGTCTTACGCTGCTGTCGCGGCCGGAGGGAGGCCGCAAGGTAGAGGAGGAGGCCAGGGCCAAAGGGGCCAGGCCATGGGAGATCGAGGACCGGACGCACAGGGGGTTGGCGGACAGGGAAACCGCCAAGCGGGAGGTAGGGGTCAAGGTCCCCCGTTAAATCGCCAGGGTAACCGGTCCCCACAACGAGGAGGTGGAAGGGCGCCTCAAGGAGGATGGCACCCAGGCTTGCCACAGGGCAGGCCCTGGGAAGATCTGGGCTTGGACAAGCGCTTATGGCACGAACGCGTGAACCTGGGTCAGTGCATGTTCTGTGGTGACCCGGCGCACGTAATAAAATTTTGTCCAAAGTATAGACAGGCCCGTTGGGCTGCTCAGCAGTCAAAAGGCAGCTGCCAGTCGGGGTCGCAACTGCCCCTACTTCCAGGCCATGTGGAGAAGTGAGCGCGCGCGAAYAGGACACTCCCAACCCACATAAGCCTATGGCAGAGGTTGCAGGCCCGTGCCTAGATAGTTGTCCAGAGACTGCTTATGTTAGCGTCTCTTTAGGCACGTCCCTCACAAGTGTGGCAAAAGAGTTAAAAGAGAGAATGCCAGCCTGGGCCAAAATGAAAAAGGAGAGTAAGGGACAACTGATTTTGGTAGATGTAGAGGTGTTCAGAAGTAGAGTAGGGGCCCTTATAGACTCTGGGGCTACCCGTAGTTACATTAGCCGTAGGGCGCTGAAGAAGTTGAGGCTAGGACTAAAGGTCCAGAAACTAGTAGACCCCATAGTCAGTGTCCTCGCAGACAACCGCACGATGCGCGTTGAGGACTACGTAGAGGGAGTCCAGGCGTACTTTCGCCTAGAGAAGAATGGAAAAGTGAGGAAGGTCCTCCATTCTTTGACTCTCCTCGTGCAAGATGACCTTCCCTTTGATATAGTGTTGGGAATGGATTGGGGAGAGGCAGCAGGGGCCACACTTCATTTGAGAGAGCATGAGTGTAGGCTCCCTTGTTCGTCAGGCGAGGTTAAGACTGCCCGCTTATTTCATGTGTTTGGTGTAGATAACACCTTGGCACATTGCTGTCTCAGTGCTCCCGCGTTCGCGCGATTAGTAAAGAAGGAGCAGTTAGAAGACCAGGTCTTTGTAGTCTATGTCAGACCTGTCACTGAGGCCCAGGAAAAGGATAGTTCCACAGATCCAACAATTGCCAAGCTGCTGAAAGAATTCAAAGACTTGACTGAGTCACCGACAGGAGTAGTGTCGCGACCCATCCAGCACAGGATAGAGATAGAGCCTTGCAGTTGAACTCCTAAGGGTGCAGTCTACAGGATGTCCCCTAGAGAGTTAGAGGAGCTTCGCAAGCAGTTAGACGAACTCCTTGAGAAGGGTTGGATTAGGCCCAGTTCGTCTCCTTTTGGAGCACCAGTCTTGTTTGCCCCCAAAAAGGAAGGAGAGCTTCATATGTGCAAATACTATAGGGGTTTGAATGCGATCACCGTGAAGAATGTTGAGCCGCTGCCCAGGATAGACGATCTTTTAGATCAGGTGCAGGGTTGTAGGAACTTCTCCAAGATAGACGATCTTTTAGATCGAGTGCAGGGTTGTAGGTACTTCTCCAAGATAGACTTGAAGTCCGGATACCATCAGATAAAAGTCCATCCTGATGATCAGTATAAGACTGCATTCCGGACTAGATATGGGCATTAGGAGTTCATAGTGATGCCCTTTGGACTAACCAACGCGCCAGCCACTTTTCAGCGTTGTATGAATGACCTGTTTAGACCATGGTTAGATAAGTTTGTAGTAGTCTATCTAGACGATATCCTAGTTTTTAGTAAGACCCYCCAGGAGCATCAGGGTCATCTGAGGCAGGTCTTGGAGAAGCTTAGAGAGGCTAACTTCAAGATCAACGCGAAGAAGTGCGAGTGGGCCAAGACGCAAGTTTTGTACTTGGGCCACGTATTTGTTGGAGTTGGCATTAAGCCAGAGGACAGCAAGATCGCGGCGATTAGAGATTGGCCGACACCCCGCACATTGACAGAGTTGCGGTCGTTCCTAGGCTTAGCTAACTACTATAGGAAGTTCGTGAGGAACTTCTCCAATATCGCCGCTCCCTTGCGCCGATTGCTGAAGAAAGAGGCAATCTGGCAATGGGACAAAGACTGTACGTTTGCGCTCAAGAAGCTAAAGCGCGCGTTAATAGAGTATCCTGTCCTCAAAGTTGCAGATCCGTCTTTGCCATTTGTCGTCATCACGGATACGAGTCAGTATGGGATAGGCGCCGTGTTGCAGCAAGACGACGACAATGGCTATAGACCTGTAGAGTTCATGTCAGCGAGGATGCCCTGTGAAAAGGTTGCTGCCTCCACGTACAAGAGAGAACTCTACGCTCTTAGGCAGGCTTTAGATCATTGGAAGCACTACCTGCTTGGGAGGCACTTCAAAGTGTATTCGGACCACGAAACGCTTAGATGGTTAAAGACTCAGGCCAAGATGACACCTAAGTTGACTAGGTGGGCCGCAGAGATAGACCAATTCGACTTTGAGCTCAAGCCAGTGAAGGGCAAGTACAACGTAGTTGCAGATGCTCTGAGTAGGAGATTAGACTACTTTGGAGTTGTAGTACACTATCTGGATATAGGGAGAGACCTGCAGGAGAAAGTGAGGCAAGCATATGCGCAGGACCCTATCTAAAGCGACCTCCTAAAGAGAGTTAGAGAGGCCCCAGAGACTGAACCAGATTACCACACTACAGACGGGTTATTGTTTGAGAAGACTAATGTGTTTGACCGCCTGTGCGTTCCCAACAGCGAAGAGATCCGCAGTTTGATTTTAGAGGAATGCCACGATACTGAAGGGCATTTCGGTTGGCAAAAAACATTAGCCAAACTGATGCGTGCATATACCTGGCCAGGAATGAAGAATGACTGCATAGAGTATGTCCGCAGTTGTAAAGTGTGCAAGAGGAATAAGTCTACTACACGCGCGCCCCTAGGTCTTCTCAGACCCTTGCCTATTCCGGATCAGCTGGGAGACTGAGTGTCCATAGACTTCATGGACACCCAAGTCAAGAGTAGACATGGTAAGAGCCAAGTCATGGTCGTAGTGGACCGTTTTAGTAAATATGCAGTTTTCGTCCCTTTGCCTGCAGAGGCTCGTACAGACTTAGTTATACATAAGTTTTTTGACTTTTGGGTTAGTGAGAATGAAATCCCAATGTCAATAGTTAGTGATAGAGACAGTCGTTTCACCAGCCAGAACTGGCAAGAACTCATGAGAGTCTACGGATCTAAGTTGTTAATGTTGTCCGGCCGTCACCCAGAGACTAACGGTCAGACAGAACAAATGAACAAGATCCTACAGCAAGTTTTGTGCATGTACATTAGACCAGATCAGATTAACTGGGATGAGATGTTGCCTAAGGTAGCTAATGCATACAACAACAGCGTGCATCTATCCACTTGCCGCACTCCCAATGAGTTGCACAAGTCCTTTAGACCGTGAAGACCGTTCGAAGGACTGAACCGGGATCAGATTCACAGATTACCGCCCGGTACCAGGGAGTTTGCGATACAGCACGAAAAGGAGTTAGCCACTGTTGTTGAAAACCTTCGGAAGGCCCAGCATTGAATGATAGAGCAGGCTAACAAGCACCGTCGCCCATCACAGTTTCAAGTAGGCGACTTAGTCTGGGTCAAGGCAAAAGAGTTTGCACCGGAAGAAAACATCTCGCAGAAGTTACTGCCTGCATATAGAGGACCGTGGCCAGTTCTAGAAGTCAAGGGCGGAGAGGATGGACCRTCCTACAMYATWGAGATTCCAGCACACCTCCACACMTACCCWGTGTTYCATGCTTCMAAGCTGCTGYCGTGTGTCACWAGTCAACAGTTCCCTTCCAGGAGATCCATGATCCCACTGGATATGGATGGGAGCTATGACATAGACGGCATTGTAGAAGAGGATGTGTTTAGGACAGGAGGTAGAGGTCGTCCCCAGAAACAGTATAAAGTCCGGTTTGCCTATCAGGAACCGGAAGACGACCGCTGGTTCACGAAAGCATAACTTCTAGAGACAGCTCCCGACATAGTCAGGGCCTATGAGCGTGACAAGAAGGGTAAAGGTCCTGCCTTGGACTGAAATTTTCTCGGAGGACCTCAAATTTAGGACGGCGGGAGTGAAACGGTTTTCACCTTTTAGCAGTAGCGGATGCAGTACCCAAGGTTCGATCCCTAGACCTCACCTTACCCATGTACAGTATCTGTGTAGACCCCGGGAATTGAACCTGTGACCTGTGTATTCGTAGGCAGTTGGTAGGCTTGTCGTAGGTCCCTAAGCAGCAGGGGTTCGATCTGTAGGTCTATAGCGTAGGAGTCTTAGTGAGTTCCGGAAGCTTAGTTGTAGACCTTCTAGAAGATAGGCAAGTGGGCAAGTGGTCAAGTGGCGAGGCAAGTGGTGGACTAAACCGCAGTGCAACAGCAGTACAACGTCGGTAGGATRGCGGTGAGTCCACAGTCAGTCAGCGGAAGGTCCAGTCAGTCCCAGTCTGGTCCAGCAAGTACCACAGGGGGACTGTAAGCACCATGGGCCGATGACAAAGGGCAGACCAACGRGTTTCTGAAGTATAAATCAAGAGGCAGCGCCCAGCCATTCATTCATTCCTGCGTGAGCCATGCGGAAGCGCTGCCACAGCGACTTGTGCAAGGAGGTCTGCAGATGAGCCCGGAGGACGCAGTGGGTAGGAGAGAGGGAGTTAGCATAGCGATAGGTTAGATGCAGCGATAGCTGCCATAGCTGTAGTTAGTAGTGAGTGTGTGTGTGTGTGTTCAAGTGTTAGAGTGATGCGTGTGGGATATCCAGGGCGATCCAGTGTATGTGAACAGTGAGATGTTTGGGTGCTGAAGTCGCCATAGCCACTTGAGAGTGAACTCGTATCTGAAAGCCATATTTCTGAGTTTTGAGTGGGCGCATGTCGCCAGTATGCGGCGTTGCTGTTTACATGTATGAAAAGTGTGTTTGAGAACGAGTCTGATTGCAAACGCGTGAGAGTCACTGAAACTCAGCTTGCTGCCAATTGCAGGTGGCGATGAGTTGTGCGATCATCTTGGAGATATCCTCCTTAGTCTTGTCCACGTCCGTCAAATTGCTGTTGCTCTCCATTGGTATGAAGTGCCATTTCTTGAGCGTCGCTGCATACGCCGCTTCACACTGTTGCATGGCCGGAGCTGCATCCTTGCGGAGGCGGTGCAACGCTGCGGCAGCTTCATCCTCTCGGCGCTGTTGTGCTGCAGCTGCTTCGGCCTGTATCCGCTGCTGTTCGGCAGTGGCAGCCTCTTGACGACGGCGCTGTTCTGCTGCAGCTTCCGATTGTCTTCGCTGCTCGGCCACTGTGTACTTGCTGTAGGTCTCCACGCGCACGAGGAAGTCCGCCATGGACTCGTTCGGTTGCTGGCCCAGCATGGCGGGTAGACCCTGGTTGGAGGCTGCTTGGCCCCCATGTGTGCTCCCAGCTGGCAGCGCCACTGGCCCGGCAGTGGCAGCGGCTGTTTATCCGGCCATGGCCCCCGCTTGAGGCAGCGGTAGAAGAAGTACGATCGTCCAGGGCTTTCACTGAGGTGTGGAGCAGGATCGGCAGCCTGTTTTCGTACAGCGATCCTCGCAATGCGCCTGAGCATTGGAGAACAGGCTCAGGTTGCTGTGGCACCCTGCTGACATTGTGGCATTCTGCTGATGTGGCACTCTGCTAACGTGGCACTCTTGCTGACGTGGCGCACCTGCTGACGTGGCACCCTGCTGACATGGTACACTTGCTAACACGGCACTTACCCAGCGACGCAGGTCAAGACGAAGGTAGAGGGGGAGGGGAGAAGGACAGGTAGGCAAAAGGAACCCAAACTGCAATCGCCCCTTCCTAAGAGAGGTAAGACACTAATCAAAGACGAAAAATCCCCCCCCTTCAAATTTGCAAAAATTGCAGAAATTCGAAAATCTGGGCTGAGTAGTGTCTTCCATGCAGTGTCAGATGGCGGAGACACCAAACTGACACCTCGGTTCTTACCACCACCAGGATAGAGGTCTTGCACAAGGGCCTTTAAAAAAAAAAAAAAAAAAAAAAAGAGAACAGAAAAAATTGACAAAAATTTGGGATTTCCCCGTGCTTTTTTTTTGTTGTTGTTGCAGAAATTCGGGCTTGAGAAAAAAACAGCGAAAATGTTATAAAATCGAATTTTCCAAATTCCTACTCCGTTAAAAATCGAATCTCAACAGGAGCAGGAGACAAAAAAAGAAGGGAGAAAAAACGAACTTTCATGGTAGCTGCAGTTAACTGCATGACATGGGGGCAAGTTCCATAGTTAACCACGGTTGAGGTTACTATGGTGGGCAATCAGGTCTGACCTTCTGCTGCTGGTTGGTGTAGAAAGAGTAGGTTAGAGCCTTAATTTGGGTGTTAATTAAGGGCGTGAGCCCCTTATTACAACTTTAACTCCAAAATGCTCCACCTAAAGAGTCCGCGAAAAGAATCTAATTAGCGCTAATCAATCAGCGCCCTAAACCTAATTTGGCTTAGTACTAACTAGTGCGGCCTTAATCCGAGTTAGCGCTGAGTTAATTAGCACCGTTCCTTAGATTAGTGCTCGCACTAATTACCGCTGCCTAACCTCATCTTTCGTCAGCATTAACTGAATGAGCCCTGACCTCGATTAGTGCCCCAAACCAATCGGCGGTGCTAGTTACTAACTAGCTCGACTAATGCCTGATCAGTGCTAATCGAAGGTTAGCGCTCAATCCCGGATTATCGCTAATTAATAATTAGTGTGGATTGATATGATGCACAAAATGGGAATGATTGAAAGAAAAATTGCAGTAATCAATCAATCTGACGACTTTGCTGAGCAGATCCTATTCTCTCACAGGTCTGCTCCGATACCAAAGTGTGGCATGCCTAATGGCATAGATCAGAACCAACCTCTCAGACATAATAACACTAGCACTGCAGTAACCCTGTTCAACAGCAGACCGGGGCTCAGAACTTTGCCCCCGGTAAGACCCAGACTCAGTTGTCTGTGCTGGGCTATGTGACCGAGACATGCCCAGCCTGAGTCTGTCGAGGAGGTTGTGTGACCAAACGCAGCACAAGGAAATTCAACAGTCAAAGACAACTGTAGAGTCAAAGGTACCGTACCCAGGCCTATGGACGGATACATTCACTTGTTGTGTGCAGGTACCCAGACAGCATTCAGGGCGGGAGAAATACAGTTTCTGGCCGATCTGGGCCCTCATTCATATCGAGATCTGGACGGTGCAGGACCTCACTACCCGGGGTCCAGACCCCGCATCCACGCTATTTAAGAGYTGACTTCCTGGCTGGAGACATTCAGTCTTGCGTGAATGCTGACTTCACGCGTGGACTTGACGCTGTTGCTATGCTGCGACATTGCGACATTGGCTTGACGCCGGCTATATGCTGGCAGAGGAGGACAGCAAGGCGCTGCTGGCTGGCGATKGTCTTCTGGGCATGCTGACGTGGCAGCTGCCACGCGCTGTTGCTGACGTGGCCGCTGCCACCTGTATATGATTGATGACGTGGCTGGCTGCGAGGTTGATGAGGCTGTTCTGAT